TGTTATGATATGCAAATCATGCGAGGCAATATTTAAATTGATGTTCTAATGTATTCAAATGCATATCTAGTTCAATATGGCTGTGTGGCATGTGCAACACACGCGATGATTCCATTAAAGTCAACTGAGCGGCACTTACTGTCAATTTTATCCTTTCTGAAATGAGTTGTGGGAATTTGTTTCAGTACAACATAGTAAAGCTGGGAAAATTTTTGCGTGATAGTGGATATGAAACACATTCTGTGAGATGAGAATGAATCATAGTCGTATATCTCAGACTCGAAGAGTTGAAGCTTCTTTGTACTGCTACTTCAGAATACTTTGTACTGCTAAACAGAAGTTCAAGTTGTTCTCCAGGTCTTTACGAGGGACTGTGGGATTCGAAGGTTTGAAGCTTGACATTTCAGAACATTTTATACTTCCAAAAAAAGCTGAAGCCTTACTCTAGGTCTATACGAGGCACTGTGGCGTTCGAAAATTGATGTAAAATATATTAACGTACATTTTTTCTTTTCATTTCTTTTATTCTGCAATGCTTGTAAAGTATTTTATATTATATTTTATGCAAATTTCATATACATACCAGTTTTGCTTTACTACAGTCATCACATGAATTGTACACTCACACTTTTCTTTTCACTCCAGCTCCTATTTAATACACACTCATTTTTCGCCACTTCCTCTCTTCTTCACATCTACTTCCATGAACATATCGCGCCTTTTGACTTAAAAAGTCATTTCTTTAACGTTTTTTTTTTCTTGCATACATACTTTGATTTCTGCTTCTCCCGCTGTCATGCCGCTCTTTTTATTAGCTGTTTCACTGCTTTACGACTTTATTTGTATCGCAGTCATTGTGCCACTTATTGAATAGGAAATTACATACATTTTTATTATTTTATTATTGACAACAAATCGTCTTTATCGCCATTGACCTTTTCTCCTCGCGCAGCATGGCAAACCTTTTTGATGGCACATTGTTTGTGTGTATTTGTGTTTCGAAAACGGAAACAGCGTTGACCGGATGACTTGACTGGACGTATGCCAGTCAATGCTAGTTTAAGTTAGCATTTTTTCTAGTTGTACATTCATCTTTTGTATGCATGGATTATGTTTTGTATTGCTGACATGCAGAGGAAGTGATTCGCTAGTGATTTCGGCAGCTTACATGCTTCCGTACGTCCGTACACTTATGGACCATTCTAACTATGATTCAATTATTGTTGCTCGCCGCTTTTTATACACAGCGTATAATAGTTTTGTTCAGAGCTTTTTCTGTGTCCAATATACCCTGTATAATGATTTTCGACTTTCCAGCTGACTTTAAATCGTTAAGTTTGGTAAAAATATGTGATATTTTCATGAAATTAGGTGGACAAGTTTTCTTAAAAATTATGTGATTTAGCATTTAATATGAATGGAGTTGGTCTAGAACTTGGTCTAAACCCCATATTCAATGACCGCAAATGTAAACAAAGGCTGTTGTCTTGGCTAAATGTAAACATGGTTGTGGACTTTGCTAAATGTAAACAAAAAAGTCATTGACCTAATAAAATGTAAACAAAGGGTTCATTGACCTTGAAAAAATGTAAACAAAAGGTTCATTGTCCTCATAATGTAAACAAAGGTTGTTGTCTTGGCTAAATGTAAACAATGGTTGTGGACTTAGCTAAATGTAAACAAAAGGGTCATTGGCCTAATAAAATGTAAACAAAGGGTTCATTGACCTTGAAAAAATGTAAACAAAAGGTTCATTGTCCTTATAATGTAAACAAATGGGTCATTAACCCAAAAAATGTAAACAAAAGGTTCAATGACCGCAAATGTAAACAAAGGTTGTTGTCTTGGCTAAATGTAAACAATGGTTGTGGACTTTGCTAAATGTAAACAAAAGGGTCATTGACCTAATAAAATGTAAACAAAGGGTTCATTGACCTTGACAAAATGTAAACAAAAGGTTCATTGTCCTCATAATGTAAACAAATGGGTCATTAACCCAAAAAATGTAAACAAAAGGTTCAATAATGGCCGCAAGTAAACAAAGGTTGTTGTTTTGGCTAAATGTAAACAATGTGGACTTGCTAAATGTAAACAAAAGTCATTGACCTAATAAAATGTAAACAAGGGTTGATTGACCTTGGCAAAATATAAACAAAGGTTCATTTCCTCATAATGTAAACAAATGGGTCATAACCCAAAAATGTAAACAAAGGTTCAATGACCGCAAATGTAAAAAAGGTTATTGTCTTGGCTAAATGTAAACAATGGTTGTGGACTTTGCTAAATGTAAACAAAGTGTCATTGACCTAATAAAATGTAAACAAAGGGTTCATTGACCTTGAAAAATGTAAACAAAGGTTCATTGTCCTCTAATGTAAACAAATGGGTCATTAACCCAAAATGTAAACAAAGGTTCATGACCGCAAATGTAAACAAAGGTTGTTCTTACATGTAAACAATGGTTGTGGACTTGCTAAATGTAAACAAAAGGTCATTGACCTAATAAAATGTAAACAAGGGTTCATTGACCTTGGCAAAATGTAAACAAAGGTTCATTGTCCTCATAATGTAAACAAATGGTCGTCACAAAAATGTAAACAAAGGTTCAATGACCGCAAATGTAAACAAAGGTTGTTGTCTTGGCTAAATGTAAACAATGGTTGTGGACTTTGCTAAATGTAAACAAAGGGTCATTGACCTAATAAAATACAAGGTTCATTGACCTTGGCAAAATGTAAACAAAGGTTCATTGTCCTCATAATGTAAACAAATGGGTCATTAACCCAAAAAATGTAAACAAAAGGTTCAATGACCGCAAATGTAAACAAAGGTTGTTGTCTTGGCTAAATGTAAACAATGGTTGTGGACTTTGTAATGTAAACAAAAAGTCATTGACCTAATAAAATGTAAACAAAGGGTTATTGACTTGGCAAAATGTAAACAAAGGTTCATTGTCCTCGTAATGTAAACAAATGGGTCATTAACCCAAAAAATGTAAACAAAAGGTTCAATGACCGCAAATGTAAACAAAGGTTATTGTCTCGGCTAAATGTAAACAATGGGTGTGGACTTTGCTAAATGTAAACAAAAGGGTCATTGACCGAATAAAATGTAAACAAAGGGTTCATTGACCTTGAAAAAATATAAACAAAAGGTTCATTGACCTCATAATGTAAACAAAGGGGTCAGTAACCCCATAAAATGTAATTAAAAGGTTCAATGACCGCAAATGTAAACAAAGGTTGTTGTCTTGGCTAAATGTACACAATGGTTGTGGACTTTGCTAAATGCAAACAAAAGGGTCATTGACCTAATAAAGTGTAAACAAAGAGTTCATTGACCTCGGAAAAATTTAAATAAAAGGTCCATTGTTTGGTTACACCCGAACTAAGCGCTTCCTTACTTGTTTCTTATTTAATTTCCTACAATGGTGAATGGCTTGGTTCTTAGTGATACAACAGCAACTTGAACTTTTAGCCGGAAATATTACGTATCTCGGCAATCGAGTGTGTTTGCTCGCGTTTGACAAGTATTTTTTACAAGCCATTAGTTGTTACTAGGAGTGCCCTTTGATGAGTCGCCAAAAGCACGCGCTGCGTCGAAGAAGCCCATACTTTAAAATGGTTATAATTTTTCTGGTCGGAGTTTGAGTTATTACTACTTTTGTTGAGCGCCAACAGTTGATATTCGTGTTTACTACTGCTTTAATGCTACGAAATTTCGCATTTGAAACTCTGTCAACAAACTTTTGAATATTAGTTTTCTACTCCAAGAATACGAGAAGAGTAAGCAACTGTTCTTCACTGTTTTAATTTACAAAGTAGAGCTTCAATTGAATATTTGATGGCATTTTCCCACCACTTTGCATACGCGCTAATAGAAATCCATTAGTCGGGAAGTCATTTCTCAAAAATTATCGATGGCCGCACCATTACCGCTTCCCAGTGTAAGAAGTGTTCATGCAAACTGCCTTCTCATTGCGGCCAGCTGAAGTTCATTTAGGAAAATCTCAATTTCTGCTGACGCATGCCCGCACACTTGACCAATATTGACCAGCGTATGTTCGAAGCATTTAATATAAATCAAAAAAATGTCAAGAATTAATTTACTTAGCAATGAAGTGCAAATTCTAGTGCAGTAAAGGCTAACTTGTATGCTTGTACCCCACTACTCTGAAGAAGCCAACTTCACATACTGCCGAAATCACCGCAAACCCACTCACCTCGGGCTACTCCATGCAGTGGTTTCTACGGCGATCTGATATTGCTCAGCCATAAACACATTTATCTATAGTTTCTGCTTAAATGCACAAAACGTAAAGAACAAACACGCGTGTTAAATAAAAGTGCCATAAGCATTTGGACATGCCTGGCCACTTTGCGACGCCAATGCATACTTATTTATATAAGAAACGATAGAATTTATCCAAAAAGCATATGCATGGAAGACGCCAGCAACACGAAAAAAAACTCGTATAGTCGTAGAGCTGGTCAAATTCACACAATCCACATGCCACTACCAGCACTCCCACCACTTTCACCTTGCACACCATCCATAAATGTGCGCATAAATCATAAACAAATAATGAGCTACGCCACTCGGTGCTTGGTTATGCCGGCGGGTGAATGGTGATGCTTGACTGCTTGCCGAATGGGGTGTGCGACGCGCTCATAAAGGGATTAGCATCTTTGCAATATGCTCAGTGCATCGATTACACCCGTTTAATAGCTTCGTTGGCTGGTTATTTATTAAATACATATTTAGGTGTATCAAATTGTTATCGGAACAACGAGATCTGGGTCATTTGTAACTTGTATTTTTATGTAAAGCACAAACACGGGCGCGAACGCACGCGGCAGCCACGATAAGCTAGCGTTTATGTACAGATTTTGTGGTTTGTTTATGCACACACTTCCAACGCACTCATAAACTACATTTATTATACTTGTATATGTATGTATATGAATGGAATGTATGCCTGTGAGTACTTATGTACTTACATAGAAATTTAGCTTCGCTGAGCTGAAATTGCAGATTTTTTAAAATTTCAATTCAATTTTTCACTTAACGGCATTCAACAGTAACACTTTTACTAACATGTCAAAGTGCAGTGCTGCCAAGTGCTAGTGTCGATCGAGGACAGCTTAGGCAGTTACCAGACGGTTTAATTTATTTAAGCTGCGTTTAAAATGTAAACTAGATAATATTAACTGAAGTAAGATGAAAATAAATATATTTAAATAAAATAAAATAAAATATGTATGAATAAATTTAATTAATTTTGCCCAACGCTTATGCGAAAACCTCATAGGAGAAGTACAAGAGGACAGCAAATCTCAACGAATTTTGATTAGATAAGAAAACTGCACAACTAAAGCGGGTGAAGTAAAATATAGTAAAAAATCATAAGCAAATATTGAAATTAGATAAAGAAAATAAATATAAATAAATAAATAGAAATAATAGAAATAAATATTAAATAATTTAATTAAGCAAAACTAACCAAAATAAGAAAAAAAAATGTTAAGTTCGATATCACCGAAGCAATAATACCCTCCGTATGTGCATAGCTTAGGCTAAGAGATCCGTAGCAATAATACACTTCACAGCAGCATAAGTTAGGTTAAGTAAGATTAAGAGGTTGATTTTAAAGAGTTCTCACTTGGACAGCTTAGAACGGCGATCAGTTGTGATACCTAAAAACTGCTATATGCTGAACCATAAGACTCTTACAAATCGACAAAGCGCTTTGAGCCTATCACAAATTTGTTGAGACGGCTAATGCCAGTTTCCACTATGTCTTTTGATTCTTGCAAAGGCTACACAATGTTGGAGAAAGTGCCTGGATGTTTCCAGCTCCTGCATACAACTTTGACAACTAGCGTGCGGGAGCATCTTTAGCCTTACCACGTGAATACCTATTGGAATCATACGATTGTGGCAAGATAAACTTTGTCCAGGGTTCAATAGATCTCCTGCGTTCTACTCTAGGTAAAAAGATCCCGCAGTCGCACAGTAGCTCGCAGAACATCATTCGTTGGAAGATAGTTGATTTTTTGGCTAACTTCAACGCGTCACAGTTGCCAACAGCGTGCTTTTTCGCATACAATATGTGCTTCCAAGTGCAAAGAGCTCTTCGCGTGTTTGTGTGTCGGTGTGTCTTATATAAATGTCACCGTGTTGACAGCCGTCGGACGTGTGGCATACGCTCATGAATGCTTAAATGTGTTTGCGCCAGCAGCGAAGCGGTTGAGGGGTCACGCCACAGCACCCTCGCAAAAAGATGCACGTGTCTGCAGCATCAAAATGCTTGTAAGTCCATTCGTGTGTACGACTTTTCGGCTGTCCGTTCGTGCGACCACCCACTGGCGCCGCTTTAGATCTCACAACAAAAAAGTGCATAAACGCCAGATTTCAATTTCTGCACCAAAAGTGTTTATGAGTTTTTCACAAAAACAACAACTACAATAACTACAACAACAGCAGCAATAACCACAAGAACAATGTTTGTTGGAGCAAAGAAAGATTGGCCTTTTAACTGTTGCAGTGTCAACAGCCAAGCGCACACATGCCGCCACCAACAACACCCACCACCACACCAGCGCCACCCCAGCCGCATTCGTTGCGCCTCGACGGGTGTAAAGTTCATCATTTCAGGCGTTAAATAGCCGCATACAAAGCGACGACTTGTTGGCAGCGCTAAGTATGACTCGGTGTTTGACGCCCCCTTGGGAAATTTTACAGCTTTATTTGTTGTTTGCATTACATGTTGTTGTTTTTGTTGCTTTGTAAATTTTGTTGACTTTTGCGCTGTAAATGCGAGGCATTTAATTTGTTGTTTGTGCAATGGCTGTTGCTTTTGTTGCTATTGTTTGTTGTAGCTACTTTTGTTGTTGTTGTTATTGTGTGTGTATTGATGTAATTTTCGCCTGTAATATGACATGATGGAATCATCAAAATCGCATTAAACGCGGCGTGTAAATTATACGCTTTATTAAATGACTCCACAACAACAGCAACAATATCGAAGCGAAAGTGCCGTAAAAGGTTTTACGCGCCTTACAGTGGCCCTGAAATTTATTCGAGAAATATCTAAAGACGCAACTGTGCTGTGAGATCAGCGTAAATATAGACTTAAAATGCAAATGAGATTAAGGTTTAATACGGTAAACGCCCATTAGATGTTTAGGCTACACTACAACCAAACCCGGTCTAATTGATAATAATAAGACTTTGTATGTTCTTGACTTACATAATTTACTTATTTATAATTTTGTGGCTTTTTTTGCAAGCTTTTCTTGAAAATTTTGACGCAGCAGATCCGCGGATAGTCTTTTGCTTACTTCTTAGAGGCTGATTATAAACGATGAAAGCAAAAAGAGGTTTGATGTTAGATGGGACTTAAGCCCTTGGTATTCAGGACATTTATAGTTACTTTTGGTTCCTCCCAAAAGCAGCTGACCTTGACCAACAGAACTTATAGGCATTAATAGTGGAAGTCTTTTGCATCTACTTCACACACAGCCCAAACTTACTAGACTTTACAGAACAAAAAAATGTTAACCGTTCGGTATCAAATCTGCGAATTCTCACAACTATTCTTTATAAAGGACTTCAGTTCTGCCTTTTTTACCAAGCGCTGGCACCAACCCCTTTTCCTTTTCCCTTCACCCGATGTTTAGCTTACGTGCTATCTCGCTAACACGCGCATTACGATTTTCGATCACGATTGCCTTCACTTTTTTGATATAAACGTCAGTGGTAGACGTCGAAGGACGACCGGAACGAGACATGTCCTCGACGGTTTCTCGAATTAGCTTAAAGGCTTTGTACCAGTCGTAGCCTTTTCTAACATTCGCAATGATTTCGCACACGAAATTTGGTTCGAAACACAAGACTTAATGCAAATTATTTCTTCAATATTTTTTGCCATTGTAAAAATCGCAAAACACTACTGAGATCAATTGATTTCAACAGCTGCTGCAAACAAACTGGTTGACAGATCGCGCTCATTTTTGGCATAGTAATTAAGGACAGTGCTACCAACTTAACAAAGAACCACTTATTTTAACTTATATAGAATCTGGCTAACCCCTATAAACACAACCGCTTTTCGCAATACAATGGAGGTAGCCCATATTTAAGCTCCACAAGATTTTTCTCTCGAGTTTTTTTCACAGTTTTGTGGAAATGGAGAGCTTATAACTGAGCAGATATGGCTTTAAAAAGTATTTTAAACGAGTGTCGAAAAATCCGACATCCATTGATGGCCTAAGATCTTCACCACTTGCGAAAGCTGCGGTTTTGTAGGTTTCAATGAAAGCTTTGGCCGTATTCACCGGAACGGACCCGAATTTTACCCGACTACTAAAATAACTAAATAAAAAAACTACAATATTTCGCGAATATTCGCTGCCGCTACAACAACAAAATGGAATTGAATTAGAAAAGTGCTAGCTTTGCTTGATTGCGTGTAGTTATGTACACCATTTAGCCATGTCCTTAACTCAGCTACGCACACAAGTGAAAAAATCTTTAAGAAAAATATTTAATAGTAGAGGAAAAAAAATGTAGACATAAAATAATAATGAAGCTGGCAGCCACGTGATAATAATTTGTATTCATTAAAACTGCTAGACGTCGCCACAGGCCGCAGACGACTTGCTGCCAGAAGTAAGAGGTAGGTAACTGGCAAATACGTTGCCTACAACTTAATAGCAATAAAAAAGAAACCTGCTGAGATGCAGCGCATAACCGTTAGAGGCAATTTGTGATTTTTAATAATAAAAGATGCGCAGAAGTTACAGCACAACGGCGTTAAAGCGTAGGCTGGCGATTATATGCGGCCTAAAATAATGGAAATTAAATATCTATTCAAAGCAGATGAGCGCAAAGCAACCCAATCCTTTTACCCACCGCTACAACTTTTAGAGTTGATTTCATAAAGTCGCTTAATCCCGCTTTCGTCAACTCATCATCGTCCATCACCAAAGCGCGTCGCATCCATCAACAGCTGTCAACGCAGACACTTTTATTGGACCAGCTTGTATAGAAATAAACCACGGCTGTCTAGTTGGGTTGCAGGTGTAACGTTTAAAAGCGCCTAAAACGCCACTAAGCCTTTAATGAGATGTGCAGTAGAGCGCTGCGCGACAGCAGGAGGCAAGCAATGTAAGCACGCTTTTAGCAGAGTAACCACAAAAATTAAAAAAAAAAAAAAAATTAAATAAAAACCACAACCCCAAACAACAACTTAATTAGCCGCCAGCAGCAACAAAATGGCAAAGAAGAGCGCACACGAAAAGGATGAGCGAGCAGAGCAACGCCTGCGTAAAGGCTGGCAGAGCACGTGTGTTGAGGGGCGGAGGACGTTCGCAAAGCGTTTTGGCAAAATGGCGCATTTCATGTGTAAAATTAAATAGCTGCGAGAGTGGCGCTTCACTCCACGCTTCATAGCTTGTTTTGCGGTTTGCACCAAAACCCAAACCCCCCGCCCAAGTGCTGTTGGCCAAGCAGGTGTCAGCTGACAGGCGCTTGCTCACTCTCCGCAACAGCCGTTTATCTCTTTCACACTTGCATTTATATGCCTAGCGCGTAAGGGAAATTTTTCATATGCTCTTGAAGGTAAATTTCCCCTACTTTTCAAACGCGCCTTGCTGAGGGTTTGTGTTGATTTCCCTTAAGTTTAATGAAAGGTTTAATGAAGTGATTGATTGATGATTTCTTTTGGTTACGTTGCAATGAACTTAAAATAAAATGCAAGAAATTAAAATTTAAATAAAATAAAAATTATACCTTTTGCAGTCCCAAGTTACGCCGTCGGCGAAAGCAATTCCTGCAAGAGACTGCTTACTTGCTAACCTTGCATAAATGGCTGCAGTAACTTTTTCCACAATTAATCTTTAAGTTACACACCTGGTGTGACAGCCTAAAAATCGTAGTAGAATTTATAAAAAAAAAAATAATTACTATAAAATTTGTGTTGATTTGCACGCTATATTTATATGTTTCAAAAATACGTAATAAAATTTTTGAAAAAAATATTAAATATATTTTTATTTATACGCGATCTCCAACGGCGCTAAAAACGAAGGTTCTCCACTGCTGCAGTGATTCCGGCCTTCTCCGTGGATGAAACCTACAAATAAAAAATGCTCGTTAAACTACAAGCTATTCTCCGTACAAAAACAAAAAACGATAAAAATAAAAATCAATAATCC